CTACAGTTGCATTTCTACAATTTAGGTTGTAGAAATTCCAGGCAGCCACTGACATTCACTAGGGTTTATAAAGTGCCTACAAATCTATCCTATGATGTTCATTAAATATAAAGATTAAAATAATAGAACAGTATCTTACCGTATGCTTGAGGATGCAAGAGCCCCAAGCATCTGAAAAATAAGTTTTCATTTTATTTATTGAAATAAAAAAGATACTTAGAACAGCTGCCTTCAGCCTATGCCTGGAGAGGTGATCCGCAGTTGTGCCGTAACAGAGGGACTTACAGAACATTTCCACAGTACTCTAGCAGGTGGCGAGGATTTTACATTGTCTCGATTTCTACCTTCTCTTCCTTTATTTATCCTTTCTGTGTATTTTCCTGTTTTTAGTCTGCACTAAACTGGTTAGTTGTACTGGATGAATTATTAATCACAGTTTATGAGAAAGATTTAATATTGAAAAGGAAGGGATAATACTTTCTAGTGTGAAATAGTCTAGATGTCTCTTCTTTGAGCTAAGAAGGACTATGTTCTCAAGTCATGTGCTGAGCTAGAGGAACTGATCACGGCAGACAGATACTGTCACAAGACTTTTTTTTCTCAGTCATAGGGAAATATACTTCAAAGGTCTTGTCATCTGACCTCGGTAGGGACACACCATCCTTCACTTAAACCTTGGTTTTATTCTTTTTGTCCCTAGGAAGAACGGGCAATAAAGAGTACTCGAAGCTGTCGTAACTATCGTGGACACATTATAATTGCTCAGCAATAAGATCTTTAAGTTTAAATGTGTGCATTCTGTTGCACAAATCGTATATTGTAGGTTATAGCTTTTGTTTTGTGTGCAGTGAAGCAGGATTGTGTGATTTGCTACTTTAGGAAGAAAAAGAATTGGCTATTTTATGTCAAAACTAAAAAGAAAATTTGTGTTTTGCATGTAGCAATGTAAAAACATCTACAACTTTTTTTTCATTCTTGGCACAGTTCAGTTGTTTTGGTTGTATATATCAGGACTGTGCCTTCACAGTTTGTTCACAAGCAGGGCCTAAGCTTCTCCAACATGCAATATTTATCTTCTCGATTCAGAACTGGAAAACCTGTAGGATTGATGACAATGGGCGTTAAAGCTTTGGCACTTTTGGTATGACTTGCCAGAGAAGAAAGGCTGCTGAATCCCAGGGCCCTGAGAAATGGCCTGTTGAGATCCTGGCAGGGGAGCGTGCCCACCAGCTTTCTTCCAGCCTTCCCTTGAAATTCTGCAGCTCCCCTACACACCTACCCCATGTACTTGTGGCTGAGTTTAACCAGTTTATATCTGCGTTTGCTTAAATTTCCAGTTGAGTTTGTACTAACATGTTGAATGGTAAGCAGGCACAGCCGAGATGCAGGTACACATTTCTTTCAGTATCCAACTTATATGTGTAGCAACCTCCAGTTTAAGGGATGGACAGATGGCCAGGAGCAGTTCTGTCTTAAACTACCTGAGATTTTAGTCACAATCTTCTTCACCTACTTATATTCCCTTCACTAACAATTACTTCATGGGGAAGTTATTCATCATATTGTATCCTAAGTGATTGAATTGTGCTGCTGACTCCATTTTGATAGTGGATGCAATGATGTGTCATACTGTTTGTGAAACACAAAATCTTCAGGACAGCAATACTTTATTTGGGAAGTGGTGCATTTCCGTATTGTATTCATATGAATGAAATGGCTCATTGTACATGAATTAATTAATACAAGTCACTTCAGAGGTGATAACTTCTTAATTTTATTACAGTCTGTCCTGGTTTCGGCTGGGATTGAATTAATTTTCTTCGTAGTAGCTGGTATAGTGCTGTGTTTTGGATTTAGGACGAGAATAACGTTGATAACCCACTGATGTTTTATTCTTCTTCTTCTTCTTCTTCTTCCTTCTTCTTCTTCTTCTTCTTCTTCTTCTTCTTCTTCTTCTTCTTCTTCTTCTTCTTCTTCTTCTTCTTCTTCTTCTTCTTCTTCTTCTTCTTCTTCTTCTTCTTCTTCTTCTTCTTCCTCTGCTGTCCTATTAAACTGTCTTTATCTCAGCCCACAGGTTTTACTTTTTTTTCCCCAATTCTCTCCCCCATCCCACTGCGGGGGGAGGGTGAGTGAGGAGCTGTGTGGTGCTTAGTTGCTGACTGGGGTTAAACCACAACACAGTCACTTGAATATAAATCAGCTAAAAGCCAAGAAGTTGAGTTCCTTGGGAACTTTTAATCAAAATAAATGCTGGGCTGCCTTTATCATGATACACTAGTGTTTCCTTATGACCACAGCACCCACTTCTTCCTGGGATTTGTGTTGGTGCTTCATTCTGAGAGATAGAATCCAAACAGAGGGGTCCAGTCAACAGGACTGGAAGAATAAAGAAGTATTTATTTCCACGAAGTGCTGCAGAGTGAAAATATTTTAATACTGACATGGTACTTCTTGTTCAACAAAAAGAACACAAAAAGTCAATACATTGAATTTTTGATGTATTTGAGATGAAAACCAATGTCAAAATAGTGAAACTTCCCACAACTGGGAACCAAGACTTTAATTCCACTCAGTATTTACTTCTGTGTACGCCTCCACTCTCTGGTCCAATTGGGATGGCAGGGAGAGGTGGAGGGGTGCATTTTTACTTCTCACTTCTGTTTCCCTAAATTGCTAGCCTCTGTCTGTGAAGACTTGTTACATTCTGCTTAGCCAGTTTTAACCTACTGCTGCATGCTAGACCGTAATTTCTGTATATACAGTCTCTTACATCTTGCACCTGAATGCATTTCATGTACCCTGCAACTCTGTGTATTCTGATTTTGTGGTATCAGTTTCTAGGGGGAAATGTGTTGCTCTCTACAAATGCAATTCCTGCCCTTACACCCAGAATTGAGAACTTTCCCTCTGCCACTGTGGCAGAAGTGGCATGCCAAAAGAGTAAGCCTGTGGTCTTTGAAGAAGCCATTTGAGTCATTATGCCAGACCAAAACATTTTTTACTGTGTAGGTACATGCTTGAAAAAAATGGCTATTTTCATAGGAAACACGGGAAATTCCTCTGGAAATATGTAAAAGTTATTTTCTCTACAACTGTTCCCTTATGTAGCACTTGCTGATCCTTCCAAACGAGATTAATACTATCTAACTCGTTAAATGTAAAATGGAAATTATCGCATGAAGATGTACACCATAGATAGATGTAGAAATTCAGATAGATACCAAGAGAGACTTACAAAAACACCTATGTACCTCTTGATCCCTCTGGGAATCAGATCCTTTTGATATTTACGGAGATTGTATTTGAGAGTCAAGTCTCACAAAGTTTCCTTTTATCAGACAAATTTTACAGTTTGTCACCTCTTACAGATGTGGGAGTAGGAGAGCTGATCCAAATAGAGACTCCTTTCTTCAGATAGGTTTGTCTACTTCTTAACTTTAGTAACTCGATTTCTTTCTTTTGGATTTCCATGAGCAGTTTAGGTCTCGGGTAAATTCTCTAGTCTTCTGTTAAGCCAATATTTATTTAACTTCCAGTAGACAAATTTTAAATTCCAAGTCTTTTCAAAGTATGTATTCTTTGGAAGAGGTCTCAAATGTCTGCATAACTTCACCTGTAATCTTGTGAATAACGTGTGCTGTTAAGAGTATTGACTTGGTAGTGATGATTTAATTATTGACTTGAATTGTCGAAAGGAAAATAATGAGTTTCTTTTTCCTAAAAAGACAGCTTGAAATATTATACTGACGAAATTCTGGTTTTATTCCACAGACTGAACTTTTGTATTTGATCTTTTTATGCTCTGTGCAAGTAAGCAAAGGTCCCTTCTGTTCTTTTACATTAAAAAGAGTTGGTGGATTGCAGATTTTATAATGGAATAAATATGTTTAGGGGCAAAATATTTGTGGATTAGAACTTTCCAGCAAGCAAAGTTTGGCATTCTAGCATTTTTCTGAGTTAGGTTTTCAGGCTTGTAAGAGGGTAGTTGTAATCTTTGCTATGGAGTACAAAATGTTGCACTCACACACCCATTTCCCATGTTTGCTTATGGTTGCAATTGTGAGACTGAAACTTCTGCTATGTCGTACATGTTGGAAGGGGGAGACTATACCTGTTGGAAGTGAATAAAAATAAACTTATTTGAGGGAATGGGTGGGGATTGTTGATGATGAACATGAGTTATGCTTGCAGTAACTGTGTTGGATTTATACTGTCTTTAAAAATGAGTACTGCTTTATAATTAATTTAAATGACACCCCACTTGTTTATGCTTCTTTTATTAATAACTTTCCTCTTACCAGCACATTTGATTTGCAGAGTCAGTGCACTTGCTAACTTTTTTTCATTTCCAAAACCAGTAACACTGGCTTTTGTAAGACTAAAGATAAAGAGGATTATTTATTAGTTAGGAAGAAGTCTTTGGAGATGCACATGTATGCATTTTATGTGTGTATGAGAGCATACCTATATAAATGTATAAAAAAAATACATGCACATAGATAGTCAGAGCTTAGCATATTAAAAAAAGTATATTCCCAATTGATTTAACTATATATTTTGCTACTGCCCCAGATAAAGTTATTTATGGTTGAGCATTATGAGTGTTCTGGAAAGCCAGGAAACGTTCAGCTCCCATTAGCTGGAACTACTTTTTGTCACATAAGTCCTCCTTTACTCTCCAAACCACAATAAAAATAAAATTCAAAGTCCGCTGATTTTTCTGAACAGTCTGAATATACAGCTTGCACAGTTTAGTTATTTCCAGAACACCTTTAAATAGAAATCAAAACCAGTAACGAGATGTACTACAGGAGACTGTGTAACACACTGCAGGGCGTATGTGCTGCACCCTGCCTGACACAGCATTATGCAATCCTACCCTGCATTTTAGTACATTAAGAGGGTACTTTCAACTGCAAAACTTAAAATGTTGTGTAAAATTTTATTGGTATATGGCCTTGTCCCTTAAAGATTAGCCAAATCTGAACTAAAGATGTGAAATGGCAGGTATTTGCAACATTCATTGCTCAGCAAAACAATGGCAGCATTCTCAGCCATATTCAAATGCTCTTAAAGAATCTGACAACTTTGAAGTGGTCAGGTAAACTTTATGTGTTTGAAAAATCACAAAGATCCAATTTTCATTTTTAAAAATAGTTATGTCTTTGAACTTTAGAAATACTTCTGAGCTTATGCTTCTGTCAGTCATCAAAAATGCGAAGGAATAACATCTTCAGCTAAAACATTGCAGTGTGAACAGGAAATAAATCTTTAAGAAGATTGGTTTTTACAATCAATACCCAAGCAGTTTAGGTGACAGGTACCCACTATCTAATTGATATAAATGATTTTTTGTTTTGTATTGGGTTTTGCTAATTCGTTTACTTCCTGCCTGTGGAGCTATTGGTTGAAGCGGTCTGCTGGGGACATGTCTATGGTTCATACGATCTCTGTGACTGATATGGGTGTAATGAGGTTTTTTCGTGTTTCATAGTTCTTGTAGTCATTCCTCTGCCCATGGGCTCAATGAGCACATTCAGACTCCTTATGAAGAACAGATCTGCCAGCTGAATGGCAGGAAGCTTATGAGTTTATTTGCCAGACTTCTCTGGATGTATAAACCAGTTGCTGCAGCTCTAAAAAATGATATGACTGGTGCAGTAGTGATTTTCCGCGCTGAAGGTGGATGCCGGCAGGAGTTATGTACTGCAGATATTTTAGTGAACTCTGAAAAGACCACGCTCTGATACAACACTCTCAAACATTTCTGCTAGCCTGCAATTTTCTCTCTATCATTATCTTCTGTAGAATTATATCTGTGGGAAACCAGTTTATATGACTGTGCTTTACTGTGTAACAAGGAATTGTTTTCCCTTGTATTATTTAATGCATTTTGGTTCTAAAGCATACCTCAGTTTCCTGTATTTATTTGTTATAGGCAGTGGGGAAGAGCACAAGGGGCACAGAAAATGTGTGTGCCCCATGCCTGCTAAGGTTAGGACTGAACTGGAAATCTATTGTGCCAATTAGTGTCCACTTAGACAGCTGCCTAGATGGGTCATTTTTGATTCTGACTGTTCTCTGTAATTTCTAACACTTCCAAGGAGAAACACGTGGGTTTTGTTTATTGGTCACTAACTATTCTGTGATGGGTTTCAAAATGGCACACTGCAGTACTAATAGCTTTTCTCTGAAAATAGTACATGATCCCTGAAATTGAAGAGTAAGCCTCTCGTAGTCACTCTAGTACAAACACCCCATGAGAAATGCTCGCTTTAAAAGGTGTTTTGCTCTTGTTCAGTGTTTGTCAGGTTCAACTCCAGCCATGGCTTCCCGGTGGAGGTTGGTTCGGATGCCAGCATCCTCCAGCTGAAGGAGGCGGTTGCCCAGCGACAGGGAGTTCCAGCTGACCAGCTGCGGGTGATTTTTGCAGGGAGGGAGCTCAGCAATGACTTGACACTGCAGGTAAGTCTCCCTGGGTAGCTTTGCTTCTGGACTGCTGCCAGCTACACTGCCTCTGCCTCTAATGCTGCCAATCTGACATTCATGCCTGAGATCTAATAGAATAAATAGTGCCTGGGGATTCCTTGAACTTTACTCCACACTGCTTCATTAATTCTGACCTTCTTAATTATGCATTAAAACAGCAAGCAGGAAGGATAGGGGAAGAGAGAAAATAGGAGAGAGCGAGCTGTGCCTAGTGAATAAATGTTTACTGACTACAGAAGCAAGCCATGCACAATTTCTGTATCTGTTCAATTTCTATCTTACTTATTCCATTTGAATCTTAATGAAGAAGGATGTGAATAAATTGCTCTAAATCAGGTTGCACAGTCATCACATGTTATAGAATTTGTAACCCAATTGTGACCCCTGGAGGATAGCTACAGGGCTGCTGCTGCTCCCTGTGCTGCCGCTGCGTGAGCACAGGTGAATGCGCTGCTGGAGGGGTGGTTCCAGATCAGAAAGCCCACAGAAGTGTGCTCCAAAGCACTGAACTCATAAACGTGTGAAGCTAAGAGAGTAGCAGGGAGCATTGAAGAGTGGCTATAAGTAGGTATCTGAATTTCAGCTCCTGAAGGTTAGCTAACTGTTCTCTTCAATAAATGCAGAGGGCTGTTCATCTGTGGTGAGCAGTAGTAAGCATGGAAAGGTAGGTTCAACTTTCTCTTCCTTGTTGTCTTTGCTACCATTACCAGTGCTGCCACAATTGCTTTGTAAATATTTTTGTTTATCCTGTATGTGGACTTGGCAGTTTGCTTGGATAGCCAGGGCTTAGCATAAGAACACACATTTAAGACATTTGGGAAACTTGGGGAAACCTACTGGCCTTTTGACAGAGCCCAAATACTGATTTAATGAAATTGTTGTCCTTCTGCAGTGGTATCAGAGAACTGTAGATGGAATCTGTAGTAGTGCAGGTGATTATATAAAAGATCCCTCACAGGCAGAACTATTTCAGATTAATTGGCACTCATATTTCAGAAGTATTGCCTGTACTTAGAATGGCTGCTAAACCTGGGTACAGAAAGTCACTACTGTATTGATGACCTATCACTATTTCTCCTTGGGTATGATATTTATTGCTTTGCAAAAGGGTTTTAGGGAGTTTCAGCACACAAAGGAAGGTATAGAAATGCGAATTGTTGTCAGTCTCCAATGCATCACCTGTGGATAGTGTTGATACATATATTCACAGCATAAATGGCAATGTGCTTCACTTACTTATATGTGAAAACATAAATACGAAAACGTAAGAATAAAAAAAAAATATAATGTGAATTACAGAAGTTGCCAGTTGCTAGATTTGGGTGTCTGTGTTGTTCTGTCAGAAGCTTCTTAAGCACTTAGCATTTCCTGGGAAGCTGTAGCTATTGGTGTTACTGCTATTTTATGTCAGCATGAAACGCAGATTTTAAGCCCAGTTTTACACTTGCAACCAAGTCTGTTGTCAGCTACAATATACAACCTGTTGCCAGGGTAAATTAAAAATTGCTTTCCAAATATACAGGCCTGCTGATCACTTAATTCATTTCATTGGAATGTCAGAATTACCACGTGTAGTCAAGACTTTTTATTATTTAGTAAACTCAGCCTAGACTCATTGCTTTGACTCTTGGCTTCTAAAGAAGATAGGAAGTTCAAAAGCTGTTTCAGATGGTATAATCCATACTTCTGTATTTAAGTGTCTTAAATATTGCAATGATTAATATCATCAGTGATGTATCAACTACGTTTTTATTTTTGACATTTATTTAAGTGTATTTTACTCTCCTGTGTTTGCAGTTTTTTCTGTTGGATATTTGTGTACGAGTATTTATTTATTGTAGAAATTTGTCAGCACAAGAACAATTGTGGGTTTGAGGTGTTTGAGTTCCTATGGTAGGCTGTTTGGGGCTTTTTGCATAAGAAGCTGAATGCTAGTAAAATTTGAGTGCTCGTGAAATACTAACTGCTGGCATTTATGTTGCATTTGTAATTTCAGAGTTAATGTCACATATGAGCAAATTAACTAGCTCTTGTTTTCTAGACGTACAGATTTGCATGCAGAATAAGAAAAATGCAACTTAGATTTGTACTCAGCTGGCGCTTTTAAGTTATTTTATTTTATGGTAACGTAGAATTCCTAGTAAGACCATTTTGTCCTTACATTTATCGTAAATTACTTTTGAACTTTTTGCCCAAGATACTGTGGGAGAATCTAGAGGTCAGGAAGGAAAACTGATAGTATTACAGATAATGAGATTATAGAGGACATGGGAAAAGCTGCGGTAATTGCAGGAGTATAGGGCAAGGATATAGGAAATACTCCAGGATAGCAAACTTCATTGGTTTCACAGCTCACAGAACAACTAGATTTGGCTTGACAGCTACTTTAGGATCTCAGGCAGCTGATACAAAACATAACTGAGAATGCGAAAGCTGCGTTTGTTTTCCTGTTTGGAGAGAAGAAAAAATCTTTCATGGTAGCTGAAACCTGTAAAAAAGAAATGAAGCTGGAATGGACAAACATTAAAGAGAAATTATTATAAGAAAGAAAGTGCCAAGTTGAGATCTTAAATAAGTAATTTGATATCAACAACAATGGTAAAAGAACTGTAGGAAGGATAGAAGTGAAATATGTGTGGAGACATTTAATTTTGGTACCTCAGATAAGTGTTTTGTCCTTGAAAAAAGAGAGAAAGATTAGACACTGATTCAACTGTGCACAGGGGAGATCAGCATCTTAGCTAGTGACTAAAGGGGCAAGTAGAGAAATTAGAGCCATGGTAAGGAAAGATTGGTAATGACTGGATGAAGAATGACACCTGCAAAATTTGAATCTCATAAGAAGGAATTAGAGCAATAAGCTGCTTCCTAAAAGCACAGCAAATGGTGTCACTTTAAGGGTGCTAAATATTCTGAAGAATGATGAAGAGCTCCCTGCTGATTACAGTTCACTTTGGAATGAATAGAAGTAATTAATTAATATATACCCAAAATAGGAATTCTTTCAGAAGTCTCTCATGAGTGTATGAGAACAGTGGTAAGATCTTCTCATGGCAATCATAAGGGCAAAAGAAGAACAGAACCATAACAGAGTCACCAAAGGAATAAACAGCTGTGTAGCTGTGTATCGGGAACGTTGAAGGGTTGTAACAGGAGATGACTGCTTACAACAATATTGTCCTTGCCTCCAAGAATGACAAAATTGGTTAACAACCCTTGTGGAAGCAAGCTATGTAATATTTATTGATACACAATTTTGCTCAATGCAAACAATTTGAAATTTACTACTGGTAATACAAGCAGTATTATATTAGTACAGGCTTGCCCTTTCTTGGGGAACTCAAAATGCCCTTGCGTCAAGAAACTCTTGCAAACAGTTTGTATTCCCTGCCTTGCAGTAGCAAAACAGGGATAAAATTAAGTCAGTCTTCTGTTTCCCAGTCTAGTACCATTTCTTTTTGTCAGTGTTTCCTCTATGAGGTAAGTGCAGAAAATACAGTTTTTTGAAACAGAAAAAGACTAAGAATGTGATTAGTAGCAGGACTTGTTAGCTTTAGCACAGTGGTCCACTGAGACAACTTCTAAATCAGAGTTAGCTTTTATTTGACTGGAGCATAGGCTCGAGGTCTGGAGCATAGGGTTCACGTGAATTTGGCTTTAACCGCATCCATCCATATAGGTGTTTTCCTAAAATTATTTATACATACATTCAAGAAACAAACAAACAAACATGACTAGAAGTATTGTTAAACACTGGTGTGTGAGCTGATGAGCATAACTGAAAATGAGTAAAAAAGAATGGCATAACTGGAGTAGCAACATAGATGATCATCCCTACAGAGGAGGGAAAAGAGAAGTGGTAGGGGAGAAATGGTGCTATAAGTAATGTTAGCATGCTGCAGTTTGACAGTGGTTTGGAAAGAGTATGCTTCGTTATGAAAGGGTTTCTGAATAGTAAACATTAGAGCTCTAGTCCAGAGGGCACCTGGTTCTACTGAAAGCACTTGCCAGTACTATTGTGTGAAAAGCTCAAGGACAGAGAGAACACCTTGTGACAATGGGTCCCAGGTTATATCTCTCACATTTTAAATATTTATGAAAATAGGGTATCGCTAATACCATTGTTATCAGAGAACAAATTTTTTAGCAGAAACAGGTATTTGAACAATGGAACATTGCATTTTATCGAAGAAGGACCTTGTGTACCTAAATGTATGGCAACTTTCTTACTCTCTAAGCACAGCTCAGTACAAGAGAGCTTCCAGCAGTTCTTGTATTTCCCTGCTTCAGTTTACTGAAGGTACAAAGGAGAAACCAGGTGACACAGTGCAAAATGTGCCCTTAACCAGCAAAAAACCCCCATGTGCTCAACTTTAGTTATAAACCCATGAACACTAAGCTTAGAGTGGGTCTTTTGACATACACAACAAGTAGTGCCTTTTGTTAGAACCTACAGTTTTGTGTATAGGATACCAAATCCCTCATGGGAACATCTTTGATATTCAGCAGTTTTGTGGGTTACAGAATACAGTTGAGCCAACATTTGCATATGTAAACACTGTTTGGAGAGATTTCTCGCAGACATCCTGACTGAATCAATCATCCTATGTGAAATTCAAAGAGAGAAAATGATTTTACGTGTGTGTGTTTAAATCAGTATTTTGGGTCAATATTTGATTGACCTGTGGATCTTTTCTTACTTGTAAAGCTGGAAGAGATATGTATTGTACTTCTTCAAAACAGAAGAAGCTAGCTGAATAATACTTAAGTATATTATCGTAATAAAGGAAATCTAGAGATGCCATCTGTGTTACCAGGTAATATGGACTTGGCTAAATGAGTGGATAACAGTACTGCTCACTCTTGCTTCTTTGGATGGCTGCAGACTCACTGTATATGACAACAGAAACTCTACATGTTGAATAAGTTTTTCCAAGACTTGTGATGGACCTCGTGGTATTATATGCCCATAATGA